TGTAAATTAAAATGTATATATATTTAAAATTTAATATTAATATACAACTTAAAAAAATTAAAATTTGAAACTGTTTTCATTGCTGCGATTTCTTTTAAACTTATTGACACAGCAACCGTTATTGTTGAATGTGCGCATTCAAATATTAACCTCACGTTTGACATTAGCTATGCACAAATGCCGCATAAGGCATCAATCTCTGCAACTTCACGCAATTGAAATAAATTTCAATTCATTTATCAATTTGAATGTAAATGGTAATTGAAAATTCAATTCAATGAATTGAAAAAAATAAATTGAAAATTTCAATTTACATTAACTAATGGTAATTATAATTGAATGAATTGGCATTGAAAAATTTGAAACACTGTAAAGGCCTGTGATTTCATGTGGAAAAAATGAAACAAATATTGAACAAGTTATACAAAATAATTAATTGTTTTCATAAAGTGTTAATTTCAATTCACCGTAATCCAATTAAATATCCAATTTAATAAACACTTTACACATAGCGAACAAAAGAGTAAGACAGAGAACAAGATACAGAGGAAATGAGAGGCGTGGGAAATTGCTTTGATAATGCGAATTGATTAACAAAATGAATGACGGAAAAATGGATTCACTGTAAATCACATTTGAATGCGTGTTATGTCGGATGCAGCTCACATTATAGTGATCAATTGTATAATAAAAAAGCATACATCATTTTGATTTGGAGTTTAATTAGTAATTTATTCATCCCAATGTTTTTCACAATAAATACAGAGTTTTTTTTAAATATTTGTGCGTGTAAGTATAAATAAAATAAATAAAATTGAAAAGTTTACTTAGATTTAACATGCGCATCATGTCATAAAGATGACAGTTGCTCAGCTACCGTTATGTATTGCTGTTATTAGCAATTGCTTCTTTTACGATCTACCATCTGTTCCCAAACTTCGCAATGTAAATGGGAGCATTTCTACGGCCATTGGATCAGCTCGATGGATTCGCTCTGCAGCAATATTGTCTACATTCTGTGGTGCTATGCGTTGAACGTGTGTAATGATCGGCTGTTTTTCTGTTGACGTTTTCATAACTCTGGAACTTTTCCGCAACTTGCGGTGAGCTGAGGCTTCAATTGTTGGTTTTTTTTCTACAGATGGTTCATATTTTGCGTTTATCTTTTCTTCCTTTTTTTCTCCTACTTCTACTTTTTCCTTTTCATCTATTTCAGAAGAAGTGGTATTCACAATAACATTTACCTTTGTTTGGTCCGGTTGATAATTCTCAGTGCTGCGGTTTGCATCAGGTGTGATTTTGTCGTTATTAGTTAAATGGACAGCAGTTTCAACGTCTTTGACTTTTACACTTTCTTCAGCTGCTTCATCAACGGGCTCTTCCTTGGTATCATTTTCAGCTTCTGGTTCTTCACCTTCATTTACTTTGATTCTTCGTTCAACTATTTCAGAAGCAGCCGGTTTAAATTCATATTTTTGATAGATATGAACTACTTTTGATTCCGGTGCCACCCAGTAGCCATTTGGCGGAGTTTCAAATGCATTTGTCAAAGCTGGTGCACCATAAGAATTTGCAATTTTTGGCGCATTTTTGAATACTTCGTAATTGGCCTTCTGTTCCAATGGAAACGTACCGATATTTGATTGTACACCAGCTCGAAATTGTTGTGGTTCATTGTTTGGTAATTCTTGAACACGATTTTGTTGTGATGGAACACTTGCGACCACGCCAGATTGTGAAAATAACTTTGGAGCTTCAGTTGGCGATTCTTTTGGACTCGAAATTTTTGATGTATTATAGATTTGTTTATTGAAGTCAGTTGGTTGATTTATGGTCACTTTAGTGGTGGGCTCACTCGTTGTAAGTTTTGGTTGGTTTACCTCAACTTGCGTCGATGTGGGTTGAGCACTGGCTTCAAGTTGATGATAATAGTGCCTTGGTTGTACGTGTGTGATTAGAATGTCTTGTTGTGTCAATTGATCTTGTGCGTAATTCAAGTACTTTGGATCGATGGTGTATTGTGGTGTTGGATTAAATCCAGTCAAAGGTAATTTCACACGAACGTATTGCCCGTTATTAGCTTTTGAATAATTTGGAATAACATATGCTGGAATATGAGCGGTTGGCAGAGCTGGTGGTGGTAGTTCGGCTCCTGGGATTGTTGGCAGTGGCGCCAATGACGGCAATTCTGGAATCGGTATAGTTTGTTGACTTGAATCTTTGGACTGGATTTTTGTGTCTGAAGCATCCTCTGCAGTTTCGCCGATTTCATTTGCACTTGGTGGAATAGGAATTTCCTCGCGATTAGCCAATGGATTCAAAAAGTTAACCCATTGCCCAACACGTGAAAAGAAAGAAACTGGTGTTGTTGTTTCAACAGCGTCTGGATTTTCTGCTTCGGATCGCTCTTCAGTTTGAGCTGATGCTGTTCCCAATGTTGCAAGCTGTGGAATCAATTGATTTGGCGCCAATGCATATTGATTAATAATTGCAGTGCTATCTGCATTCAATTCATCCACATTTTCGTTATTATCAACATTTTCGATATTTTCTGATGCGGCCACTTCATTGTCCTGAGCATTTTCACCTTCGACAAAATCACGAATCAATTGGCGACCACTTTCATCTTTTGCAAATTCTTTGATGTTTTCGATAGTTTCCTCTTTTGTTGTTGTTCCCAGTAAGTTCATGGTATCTTCGAGGCTAGGTAGTTTTGAAAAATCAGTTACACCAAATTCACGTGCCATTTGTATCAATTCTGGCGTCAGCCAATTTTCAACATTTGGAGTTGAAGATGGCAAACGTGAGTCAGGTGACGAAAGTGATAGTCCCGTAACATCTTCTTCAAGAACATATGGAAGAGGCTGAACATGAACTCCTTGATATTTATGCACGCGCCAAACTGGATAAACAATTTTATTTCCAACAACTTTGCCTTTGCCGATAATTTGTCCAATTGAACCGGGTTGAAGTTGTGGAAGATTTCCACTTTGGATGCGATTATCAATTACATATGGAACCGATTCGTCAGCTGTTTCAACCGTTTCCTCTGCTGATGGAGTACTTCCACCACCTAAGAATGATGGCCACCAACTATTACTACGCTTTTCGCGTGACTCCGAAGGTGTTCCGCTCACACACGCCACGGCTATGAGAACCGTTAAGACTATTTTTTGATTCATCTGCATTTCCAAAAAAATATAAAATGAAATAAATGTTTAATTTTTGTTGACAATTTTCAGTTGAACGTGAATTTCTTCGAGTTTACTCAAAATAACTTACATTTTATTTACACTTATTGTCACTATTCAAATCGTCTTTTATACAAAAATTGCACTTTATTGGCCTGAATGAACGCACTTAAATACACATTATTATTATTCTACAAAATTTGATGTTGCTTTGAACTGTGTTGAATGTTATCTGTTGCCTTTGCTAACTATTTTGCCCTATTTATGCTGACTTGAGTCGAAAAGCAAATTCATCAAATCATTATTCATATTCGAGGAAAAACGGAAAAGAAAAATGAAATTTCTCCTAATGTTTTAAAGATTTTTACATGAAGTGCATTAATTACACTTTTGTGCAATCATTTGGAATGCTGACAATACTAGACTTGCAGAAAAATAATGGTTAACAGTGATTTCTTCTACCTGAAACAAACAGTTAATTATTGTCATATGGCATGTGAATGAATCATATGTGTTGAAATGATTTTTTTCGGAATTTATGCGTCACTCAGTGAAAGTGTAGTTGGGATTCGTTTGTGTATTAGTTTATCAACCAAATATTTCTACATTTTGCTTAATGTGAAACGTAGTTGATTACATTGAGCATAGGAATAACATATATCCCACTCAAATTGGCACAAAATCAGACGTTCGCCAATTGAACAACAAACACACAATATTAAATTCGTTTTTATTGGTATAAACCTTTATTCATAGGCTATCGAATAGCACATTCACTTTACATTGAACGGACCATTGTCTTCGATTTTTCTCAGTATGTGTCGAACCATCAAAATCATGCTTTGGCAGACCAATTTGTCGATTTCTTTCAACTTTCTCTCAAACCTTCCAACCAATTGTTGCACGTTTCAAGTATTTTGGACCCCCGCCTATAACATACTGTCAAAAACAGAAGAAAAATAATTAAATTGGTGTCTTTTTGTGAAGTTAAACAGATGGTCCCTTTTTCATGGAAATGTCATATTTTAAGAAGTGAGCCATTAGTGTGGTTTTTTCTGCTTGCAAAGCACAATTTTGTCTTTAATCAGATAGTTCTCAACGAATCCCATCGATTACAACAATATTTGGTTGATAATGGAGCAGTAATGGGGGTTTTACCTTACGTTACAGCATTAAATTTTCGAATAATGGCTCTAAAACACCTTCCAAAGAAGATCCTACCATACAAACACCCCTTTATCAAAGTTCGGTTTGTCGATGTCTCTAGCCTTACCCATATAGAATGTGGACGTAGTTGGCGTTGATTTGACGTTCAGCTACGTTCAGAGTCTGTGTCTATACGTTTTGCACATACATAAACTAACACGCAGAGGCGGTCGCAATGTGCTTGTGAGTGTATACAGTACGTATAGATACATACGTTGAACGTAGCTGAGCGTCGACCAAACGTCGATTACGTCCACGTTCCATATGGGTATATAGTAGTGCCCTAACTTTATCAATGCAAAGGAAGATATTCCTTCTTCATTCATGGTTCGATATAGCGATGAATGTTTCACTAACCAAAATGATGCATTTTTCAGTGCAACATGCTATGAAGCGAATTGAACAGCCAATTTTTGACACTATTTGGAATTTTTTCGTAACTTATTTTGCTGATTACTAATGATCGTGTCTAAATCTATTGTTTTGATTCAAATTTGGATGTGCTGTAACCATAAGAATCAACAAAAAATGAATTTTGCTTGACCAACCCGGTTTTCGGTACTTGATGACAGTTTTGAAAGGCTTGAGCACTCAGATTGGGAATACGACCGTACTTTTTGCTTTTTATAGAATCTTTACATTCATATTAAATCCATTAAACACGATACATGGTTCGAAGACAGATTTGTTCATTTTTAGACACATGCAGAATTTGTTTTGAATTTAGCCGCCAAAACCATTTGAGACACTTTTTCGTAAAGCCAATTTGTACGCCATCGCGAATGAATGTATTTCGTCGAATTGAGTTTGATAGTAGTCTCGAGGTACTGATAAACGTGCCGTGTGCATTGGTTGATATTTTGGTATTTGTTATTGCAGTGTAATAAACGCCTGTAAGTTGTGCCAATTTGAGTGGGACATATGTTAGTAGGATAAATATATAAGACCCTAAAGTTGTTCTCACTGACAAAATTTTATATGGGAGATACCCCCAATTTTGATTCAAATTGCTCCAAACACAAGTAGCTAGTCTCTGATAATAAAATAGGATTTGCGGCCATTTGAAGCCATTGTGTAAAAAAGTGTAATTTTATATGGCCACAATTCTGCTAGCCTCAATCGATAGAGGAGGTATGCACTCAAGGGAATGGCACGTATATGAGAGACATGGCGACGTGCCAAACCGTAACGCCATCTATCGGATAGAATCTGAAATACAAATTTCGTATTGTCTATCTCATATTTGTGTAATTTTGTTCATAGACTTATAAGGTTTATTTCGACAAATTTGTAAGGTTTTTGTTCGCCAACATTTTACATAGCATGCCATACCCTTGTATGCAATGTACACACTTATATTTCTAGTATTATTTATTAGCATTTTTGGATTTTTATATATAATTAATCCAAAAGGATTAATACTTAGTCCCAATGGATTAAATTATTATTTTATAATTATAAACATATATTTTTGTTTTAAAATTCATGCGCATTCTCTAGCGAGCGCCAAAAACATCATCTAACATACTATTCTCTCACTTCATACGAAAGAATAACAACAATTGTATGGCAACACTCAAACGATATGAAAGTAAACTAGTACACACGCATCACTTTTACTGGCGAGTCAGTGGAAACATGTATACGAACGACGTTCAACGACTGACTCGCCAGTAGAAGTGATGCGTGTGTAGTAGTTGACTCTCATATAGTTGACGTTTGAGTGTAATCAAACAATTGTTGGTATTCTTTCGTATGAAGTTGAGAGAATAGTATAAGATGATGTTTTTGATGCTGGCTAGAGAATGTGCATGAATTTTAAAATAAAAATATATTTATAATTATAAAATAATAATTTAATCCCTTGGGACTAACTATTAATCCTTTTGGATTAATTATATTTAAAAATCCCATAGTGCTAAAAATTAATACTTGCGATATAAGTGTGTATATATGCCATCATAGAAGCAACTTTCGTCCACCATCCCTTCCACAAGTTACAATCGATTTTTTTTAGTAGTATGGTACCACGTTTCACATTAAGCCCTACGGCCAAAGACTGGCAGTGTATAATATGTACATGTACACTGTATATTATTACAGAAAATTCGAAAAATAAAGTTGTAGTTATGAAATTTGGAATGTCAATTGACGTGAAAAACTTATCATTGAAAATATAAACAAGTTTTTCATGTCTCCGAATTGATGAGAATGAAGAAAAAATTTTTTTTATGAATTTTCAGAAATCATAAATATTTGCTTAATTTTAGGGTCAACTCGAAGGCTTAAATAAATTGAGATGTTATTCGCACGAAAAAGACCGGCCAGCCGATTTTATGCTAATAAAATTTCCTCATTGGGTTTGTGTTCGACTAAGTCAACGCATTTAATTGAAGAAATTTTCTTCGTTTTCTGTTTTGAGTGTAATGAATTAATCAGGCAAAAAGGTCTTAAATATAAAGTGAGGATGAAGCCGTGCAAAGGTTATGATAATGTCAGGCTGCGGAACATGCAAATCATCGTGTTGCTGTACCTTACTTAATACGATCGATAACAATCGCGATTGTGTGCGTATGAGATGAACGTTAATTTTGCATCAAAACGATTGCTAAGTGATTTTACGTTGTTTCTGTTGTGCGATTCGTGTGCAATTACAATCCACTGCAAGGTAAACGTACACACCCAAAAAGGCAACTCAAACTATCTTACACCGACAAAAGCCAAAGAAATGGCATGCAATTGAGAGTTTATGACTAAAACGAATCAAGACAAACGAAACGAAATCATTTTAATTTACAACTGTTGAAATTAATCTAACGAAAACATTGTGTATATTCTTTTGGACTGCTTATTTGTTATTGACGTACGCACGGTCGAGATTGAGTTATTAGTAATAAAAGAGAGAGAGAGAGAAAATACTTTTTTATGACGGCGCAATCGTTCTTTTCTATCTCGTTTCACCATCGTTTTCGTCGTCATAGCCACTTCTTTTTCGTTCTACGTTTGGTATGGTGGAAAGTGTTATTTCGATTTTATAGCTGCGGCACATGCATGCAAAACCTCAATTACATTGTATACAAAATAGTTTGGAGTATGTGTAATAAGCTGTTTAAATAGTTTAAGAAATTCTGTGTGAAAACCGACCGACGATAATCATTTTTATTGGCTTGTTGTTATTTACCACAACGTGATTTGTTTTTTCTTACGCTTGCGCTCGCGCTCATCGAATTAATGTCTTCATTGGCTCAGTAAAACTAATTTTCATTTGGGTATTTCACACATTTCTGGTCGAAGACGTGAACATTGAAAAAAGAGGCTGAGTACAAAAAAAAAAAAAAAAAAACAGAATAAAAGCCATTGATCGAAATGCTGATTGTGGAATTTGTGTGTTTAATTAATAGATCATTTAGAAGATTTGTGATTGGAAATACGGGATCAAGGAAAATAGACAAATCGACACCAGCTACAGATAATTAAAATACTTTTCCATCATAATAAAAACGAAGTGAAAATCTTCAGCAAACCATCCAATGTCTATCTAATTTATTGAATCTTAGCATAGTTCTTGGTGTCCAATCTTTTATTTCAGTTAAAATTTTCAAGACGTGGCGAGATCAAGAGAGTGGGGGAAGTAATGAATCGAACAGTAGTTGATTGAAACTGATCATTCCATATGGCAATAACACAGCATCATCGCACCTTTGACTTATTTCGTGGAATTAAATTTTGTTGATTTCATTCATTTACAGTGTTAACATATCGATAAATCTAATTAAACACACCCCAAACACATTGAGAAGGCAGAAAACAAATTATGTGTTTTGTAACTTATCTGCATTTTATATGTGAACGATTACAAGTTGCAACATCATCTTATCGTTGTTATGTTGTCCGTCATTCTTTTTCGAATTCAATGTTTCGCTTTAGATTTATGTGCCATGCGTGATCCTGAAGATCTTTCATTCGTTGAATTTTTCGTACACACATACAATGAACATTTTTTGTGGCTAGGTTTT